TTTGTGTTTGCTTCCCATGCCTTTTAATTTTGCATACTCCACGAGGTGACGGCTCTTAATATGCCTATCGGCGGCGCCGTATCCTTGCGAAATCCCTAAGCTTATATTTTTGTCACAATGTTTGCAAGTTTCCCACCACTTTTCGGTTGTCGGGTCCTTCCACTTTTTATAATTATTTTTCATAAGGAGATCCACCTTTCTTACCGGGTCGAGATAACCGATGAACCATGCTCGTCCTCATCGGGCGTTTGCTCGTCGGGGGTTCCCTCGTCGCCTTGTTCGTCTTCGGTGTCGTCATCCTCAAGCTCTTCATCAATCTCGAGAATGTCTTCTTGTTGATAAAATTGCCCATGTCCTTGGTTCAACAGTTGAGCCAGTTGCTCATCGGATATCGCGTCTCTCCGGTTGTAAGGATATTTTTACTTGGACTATTTTCTGTCCCATACTAGACCAGACCAGATCAGATGAGACCAGACCAAATCAGATCATACTAGCCTAGATTAGATGAGACCAGACGAGACTTGTACAGTTATAAAAATACAAAGGAACCACACCAGACCCGTTCAGATCAGACCAAACCAGATCAGACTAGACCAGAAAATTTTAGTCCAAGTAAAAACATCCTAAATCGTCTCAAAATCATCTCGACTTTGAGAAGAAGACCAACATGTCCATTACCTTTTCCTCGCGAATTAGGATGGTTTTTCGCAATCTTCTTCTTCTAGTTGCGTTGGAGGTTACCTATATTTACAGAATGTCTACCTCATTCCATCTTAAAATGTAACAAATACTCCCTCCGGTCCCTATTAAAGTTCCCAGTTTGACTTCACACAGATTAAGAAAATAAATTTGACTTTACTGTGGAGTGCACTCTTGGCACTGTTGGGACACTGTTTGGCACTGTTTTGCACTATTTTGTTTCCTACAATGGAAGTGTGAACTTAAATAAGGGACATCCCAAAAAGGAAAGTGAGAACTTTAATAGGGACCGGAGGGAGTATTAAATTCTAACAAATATGTTAATGTGAGTACAATGTAACTAAAATGTAAGATGCCTAAAATGTAAGTAATTTGTGACAAATACTTATTTGTGAGTACAATTAAAATATGACTTTATAATAAAAATGCGGCTTTTATAATAAAATGTAAGTAATATGACAATTTAACAAAAATTAAACTTTTATATTAAAATGTGACTAATCTACAAGTCTATATAACAAGTATAGTAAAACTAACTAAAATGCAACTACTTTACTAATTTAGAAGGATGGTGAATTAGATGGAGATGTATGCCATAGAATCAGAGCTGGGTGGATGAAATGGAAAAGGGCTTCAGGGTTTCTATGTGATCGAGGTATGCCGACTAGACTGAAGGGTAAATTTTATTGAACAGCAATTAGGCATGCATTAATGTATGTCATGGAGTGTTGGGCGGTGAAGCAATGCCACATTCAAAAGATGAGTGTGGCAGAGATGGGTATGTTGCATTGGATGTGTGGATATACCAGAAAAGACAATTTGAGGAATGAGATAATCAGACAAAAGGTAGGAGTAGCACCTATAGAATATAAGATGCAGGAGTCTCGTTTGCGGTGGTTTGGGAATGTGCGTAGAAGACTGAGTGATTTACATGTTAGACGACTTGAGGGGTGGAGAGAAGAGGCAGAGAAGAGAGGGAGGGAAGATCCAAACAGACTTGGATTAGAGGAATCAGAAGTGATATGCGTCTACTTGGGTTGGATGAGAGAGTATGGCTTTGGAGAGAGCAAAGTTGAAGGCGCACATCCGTATGGACACTGATGTCTTTTCCATCTTTTCTCTCTTTTTTCTTTTTTCTTTTTCTTTTTTCTTTTATCGTTTATCTTTGTATATTCTTATGTTATTTTTATATTCTAGCTTTTTTATGCTCTTTTTTTATCTTTTATCTTTCTTATATTCTCTTGTTATTGTTATCTTATATTTATTTATCTTTTTGTTATTCGTTTTATTTTTTTTCTTCCCTTTGTTGTCCTTCTTCTCTGCTTGAATATTGTTGTTGGTGTTGCAACTACTTTACTAATTTAAGCTAACAACTTGATATGATTATTATTAATATGTAACAAATATGGTTAATTAATACTCCCTCCGTCCCGGAAAATTAGTTCCACTTTGACTTGGATCGGAATTTAAGAAAGTGGGAATAAAGTGGAAATGTATGGTTGTGGTTGAGTAAGAAAAAGGTAAATGAATGTTAGCCACACAAAACTTTCCAAAAAGGGAAATGGGAACAATTTTTTGGGACGGCCCAAAAAGGAAAATGGGACTTATTTTATGGGACGGAGGGAGTATGATAATGTAACAAGTATAGTAAAATTAAATAAAAATAAAACTACTTCAATAATTTAATATAACAACTTTAATATGATCAATATTAATATCTAACAAATATGGTTAATTAATATGATAATGTAACAAGTCTAGTAAAATTAACTAAAAATGCAACCAGGTCGGGCCTGTACAGTGCCGGGCTGGGCCGAGTCTCGAGTCAGGGCGACCCATCCCGGTCCAACCCTAGCCTCCTCCATACAAAAAAAAAAAATCACTTGTTCAGATTGTTTAAACTTGTTCAGATCGTAACTCTAATCAGTGGCAGCGAGTTCAATTTTACCGTCTCGATTAGGCCCACGGATTCAGGATCTAGTCTACCCTATTGACCCCTGTCAAAATGGGAAAAATTGCATTGCCTGGATAAGAGTAATAGATACAAGGCAGGGAATAACCGTTTTATTTTTACAGGTAATGAAACGGTTACAATTTTATACATGTCTGTCCCATTACCTGCCACGTACGTGTCATTTATTTTTAGTTATATTTTGATGGGAAAATCGCATATATGGTCCCTCAGTTATCCACGAAATTAAAATCTCAAACCTGTATTTCTGAGATTGTAAATGTCACCCATCAATTGTCCAAAATGCTGTAAATGTGATCCTTTTGAAGGGTGAAATATACAATATGGGCGAGCATACATTTCACCACTTAAAAGACCACATTTACAACAATTTGGACAATTGAAGGGTGACATTTACAATCTCAAAAATACAGGTATGAGATTTTAATTTTGTGGATAACTGAGGGATCATATATGCGATTTAATAAATGATGTAAATGTGATCCATTTGAGGGGTGAAATATACAATATGAGCAAGATTACATTTCACCGCTTAAAAGACCACATTTACACCAATTTGGACAATTGAGGGGTAAGGATGCTTTTACTTGAACTATAATTTGCTGGTGTAATCTGCTTTGGTCTGGTCTGAAATTTTATTTTTTATATTTTTTGCATAAAGATCTTATTTTTTATATATATTTTATAATCCATAAATAATTATATTTTACTCATTTATAATTAAAAATAATAATATTCCTTCAAAAATAATAATATTCCTTCAAAATTATCGAAAATTGTTATCGTTTTACTTGGTCTCATTTCAATCCCAGATCGAAGCAGACTAGACCAGACCAGACCAAAACAGAACATATCGAACCAGAATAATAATAATAATAATTATAATAATAATAATAATAAGGAATTTTATCAATTCAGGACCCGAAAGATAGATGAATTATCAATCCGGGACCTGAAAGATGAAATGTATCGATATAGGACCCGAATGATGGAAAGCTATCAATTTAGAACTTGAATGATTGCAAATTATCAATTTAGGACCTAAGTTGTCAGAAATTTTATTAATTTTTTTTATCTTAAATTTTTTAAATATTATTTAGTTTATGAAACTAATAAACTTTTGTGAAGACAAGTTTATCAAAAATTAGCAATGGAATTAATAAAAAATTAAATAAATCAAAACCTATGAAACTTTAGGTCCTAGATTGATAATTTTTCATTATTCGGGTCCTATAGCAATATATCTCATCTTTCAGGTCCCAAATTGATAATTTATATATCTTGCAGGTCCTGAATTGATAAAATTCCTAATAATAATAACAATATAATAATAATAGTAGTAGTAGTAGTAGTAATAATAATAATAATAATAACAACAACAAAATTAATAAAAATTAGGGGCGTGCAATATCCGGTTTAAACCGGGCCAAACCGGACCTGAAAAACCGGAACAGGATCGAACCGAAATGATATCCGATTCGGTTCGGTACGGTTTTGAACCGGTGCACCCCCCTAATAATAATAATAATAATAATAATAATAATAATAATAATAATAATAATAATAATAATAATAATAATAATAAAATATGATTTGGTCTGATCTGGTCCGATCTGTTTTAGTCTAGTCTGGTTTGATATGTTTTAGTCTGGTCTGATCTATTTTGGTCTGGTCTGGTTTGATATGTTTTAGCCTGGTCTGATCTGTTTTGGTCTGGGATGAATTACCGTCCAAGTAAAAACAACCTAACTTTTACAATCTCAAAAATATAGGTATGAGATTTTAATTTCGTGTATAACTGAGGGACCATATATTACGATCCCTATTTTGATTACACTTTTCCTAATATTTGTACTGCAATTAATAAATATGACTTTTTTCTCTTCTCATTGTGTACATGTGGGTTTACTAATTATAATGGATGAATGAAAGTTCATAGTAAAAAAGCTTTAAATGATGTCTTACGTCTAACGTCACCTAGATGATGTCATTTTTCGTGTTTTAAATAATTGATTTTTACTCCGTATATTAAAATACCAATGAGTGTTACACTGTTACTCACGATTATTCAGGTTGATCAATGCCTCGATGGGACGGTTATGGTATAAATAACAATTACACATTAGGTAATCAGGTAATGGGAAGGTAACGGGACAAGAAAATTACCCAAAGAGATGGGTACGATTATATGCATAATGATATTCGATCCGTCCCGTTGTCATCTCTACCCCTAACGACATAAACTTGTTTACAAAAAGTTGCCAAAATTATATGTTGCTTCTTTTAACAAGTTCAGCCATTCGGCAAAGTCATATCATAATTTATCAATTTAATGAATAATATATCTGAATTTATAATATTTAGAAAATCTCCAAAAAATGATGACAATTCATCCCTAAGGGTCTCAAGAGTCAGGATTAGCCGAACAACTATTTGAGAGGACCTAAATTGAACTTTGATCGTAAACCCCTCGCTTGTGACACTCTTCACATAAGTCAATGAGTCAATCTACGCCCTGACTATTTAGAAAATCTGCTTATACACGCTTAGGCCAAGTGCAAATAAGACCGAAGGTTTACCACTCTCTACGACTCTAGCAAATGAAATTTACCAAGAAAAAAAGACTAATCAAAGCCCATTAACGTGCACAAAAAATAAAAGCATAAAACTCAACTGCCACTGACTAGCTAGAAGTCTCGAAAACTCATTTTGGGATCCTGTCTCCTACCACCATGCCCTCGTCCCCTCCCACGCCCTCTTCCTCTTCCCCTTCCCCTCCCATACCTAGAAATTGATTTTGCATGTTTCACTTCCACGATAGAATGCAAAAGATCATCGCAGAGAATACATCCCTTATGAAGCGTGTTTCCATCCTTCAATGGAGTTGTTTTCTTGTTGAAGTCAACTTCTATGATGGTGGAGTCACATTCGGAACACCGGTCCCGGGTGGTGGTTATCCGATGGGCACCTTCTGGCAGAAAGACAAGACAATTGCATGAATTACAATATAGCCTCCATTTGGGAGCACTAACTGGATCAAGGACAAGTGTTCCGCTGCACTCTGGGCAGGCACAGACCCCTTGCGTTATCATGGAATGCTGACATGTCGGGTGCGGGCAAAGAAAGCAAGGCATTCCTACTCCCTTCCCCAACTTGGCAGCACCACCAGATTTGGAGGCGCCATATAGTGTGTCAATGCCTTCAAATGGGGGACAGTTGTAACAGTAAGGACAAAAAGGGAATGACTTTCCCTCTGGCCCAGGCATGCTAAACAATAATAGCTCAAAGTTATCCAGAGGGCATGCTAGTTCCTTGTACAGCTGCAGGGGGTAGAAAAACTAACAGACTTTAAATCTCCAACATTTTATTATGCATATAAATATCAGTGCAGCAAAAATTTTGCAGACAAGAAGGCCTACTCCATGCAAAGTATGCAACGACTCACCTTTTTCAATAACATAGCCTATCTTAGTCCTAGTATAAAGAAATAGAAAATCTAAAAACTGGAGTTTGGAAGCGGAAAAAAGAGGTTTTGAGCTTTCTGTTTAGAGTTTTTCACAATAAACTAACGTGCGAAGAGCGTAAGATAGGTCTGACAGAGTGTGCATCCTAAAAATATCAGTGTATGTAGAAGCATCTCTCAAGCACGGGATTTAGTTTTTGAGGGGTTTTGAGTTTCAATACCTTTATTGTTCCCTTTTGAGGAACATAATAAACTTCCTCACAAGTGTTGCAGTATAGTCGTGATGGCTGGGTAGATACATATTTCATATAGCGCAAGCATTTACCGCATTTACTTAGTGGGCGGCCAGACTCTGACAGTGGAGAAAATTGGGCATCAAACAATGCATCCATATTCTCAATCTACATAAGGAGGACAAGTTTTAGTTCGCAAATAAGAGCATCCTTCAGACAGGATGTGCATAAACCACATTTCATATGCCACAGAATGCCATAAAGTGTTACTTCCACAAGTCGTACTTTCAATATGTGCACCTTTCAATCTTATCAATGTTTCTCTGCATCCATTTTATCTTTTGTTTTTGCTTCTTTTTACTTTTCCAGTTATAGAGCAACTACATTAACCCATTAATATATCATGATATTTCCATACAAGTGAAAGAAAATTTAAAAGAAATTATATTAAATGGGACTAAAACATGGTTAAAACTCCAAATAAGGACTGCAAGTTTTAAATTGCCTAAATGGGACTCCACATTATACTTTTGCCCTTCTGCTATTAAAACCCATCTCTCGCCTCCTTCTGCAATTCGTCACTGGCCACGCACATCGGCAGCACATCGATGGCCCCTTTCTGCAATCTACGATAAATTCATCGTAGCAGCAGCTCCGCACATCCCTTGACAGCAGCTCCTCCATCGGCTATGGCCACGCACCGCAACTCCACCGTCGACCACAGGTATCCTTCTTCTTCCTCTTCTTCTTCCTCTTCTTCTTCTTCTTCTTCTTCTTCTTTTGTATATGAACTTCCCATCCTCTTCAAATCTGGATCCTCTGTTTTCTTCTTCTTTAGATTTTCAGAAAATGACACTTTTTGAATAAGAGAATGTCATTGTTGTGTCATTAAGATCATTTTTAAAAAATGTCACTTTTATGTCATTGCAGTATTTGAAAATGTCATATTGAGAATGTCATGTATCTATACGAAATTGTCATTATTGTGTCATTATGCAAATATTAAGTGGCATTCTCGCATATGAAGTGTCATTCCTCATGGAAGTCTACACAGACTCATAAAATCAACACATACAAGGACTTCATTTGAAGGCATTAAAGCAAGGTACATGCTGCTGCATATACAGGGGGGAATTAAAGATAATCATATCTATAGTTTGATCACATTGAGTATGCACTTGATAAGAGTATGAGTAAGAAGTACTGAAGTTTTAAAAAGCGAACACAGTGTATGCCCTTGAGGCGCGGAGGTGACTATGAAGCGTCTAAGAGGCTTAAGCCTTTATTTGTAAAATTGAGGCGTGTGCCTTGAAACATACGAGGAGATAAGGTGCAGAGCAGAAGGCAGTAGGGCGCAGAGGCTAATAGAGGCACAAGCCGCAGCGTACTTGTTGAGGCGTGAAGGTGGTGGCAGACTTGATGGATGGTGGCAGAGCCGCCATTGGTGGAGGAGCCGCCATTGGTGGAGGAGCTGATCTTGGAGGCCTGGAATCGCACAGGGCACACCGTTTGCGCAGCAGGGGAATCGCATATGCGCAGCAAAGGCCCCTACGAACTCTTCATTAAGGGCATTTTGGGTAGATTACCTCTTTTTAGTCCTATTTTTATCAAATAAAACATAGTAGTCCTGTTTTTGCAATTCTACCTAATTTTAGTCCTATTTAGGTAAATCTCTCAAAATTTAACTCTAACATGGGTATGTCAATGATGACGGTTTCAACTTCCATACCTTCTTAAAGATCTAGGTTCTATTTCCACTGCAGTATCAACAATCAACATCAATGATTTACTTATTGCTTAGATAATTTGGAACACTAGAAACAAATTGTTTGAAATAACTTGTGAGCAGGTTAAGGATTTTAGCATTCTTCATTTTTTAATCCTTCATATGTGGCACACTCATTAATAAACTTGTTGAAGAGTAAAAGATATGGTTGAAATTTGAGTAGAAAAATTAATCATATGAACCACATATTCCTCACAAAAAAGGAAACAATACATTTACTTTGAGACACACCAAAAGGGAAAACAGGACATTTATTTTCGGACAGGGAAATAAAAGCGTCCACATTCTAGATAATTCAAAAGCCTCATGGAGAAACCAAGTATGCGTTACAGATACAACCTGGGAAAGTGGATTGCAGTTATTTAATTTTATAAAGCACAAACCAAAGAACTTCAGAAGCTGATCTCTAAGATTTAAAATGTGAAAAAAGTAAAGAATCAAAGAACTTCCTATTCCATAAAGATTGTGAATTTGTGATTACGATTGCTCTTCCATGCATTACAAACTTACAGGAGGTATTGAAAAAAGCTTACAACTCAAGGAAAAATTTAAATTGTATTGGCTGCGTACCTGCTTTACAAAATAGCTGAACTTCCGTTTAAACTGTTCTAGTACGTGCTGCACAACCATAGAATGATCTGCTTGACCTTTAGCCACCAGTGTAATTTGTTGCTCTATGAAGCTTCGAATGTCAGGCAAGCAGAGATCAGGATCTATGCATTGATAACCTCTTATCAGGCTGATCCCTAAAGGAGTTGGATACAATCTCCTTCCAGCCTGCACCTGCAGTTGAAGACAATTTCAAAATATCATTAGATGGTGCATATTTGCATTCAGGCTGCATGGAGAAAAGACTCATATTACAAAAAGCAATAAAGTACAGAAAAAAATTGCAAACCTGGACATAGTTGCGCTCACATATGTTGTTGATATGAACAGGAATAGATGCATCAGTTCCTATTCCATATTTCTCCATTAAAGAGATCAGCTCGCTTTCACTTAGGTGATCAGGCGGCGAGGTGTTTCCCTAGATTTTGAAACTAATGCGTTTCAGTATAAATACAGAAATGGAAAAATAAGCGCAGAGGAAAAACAAGGCGGAGTAAACTGTTCTAATACATAAACTTATAGAGTACATAAACTTAAAGTTTGTAAAGGTCAATTGAGTACATAAACTTATATGAGGTGGAGTAAAGAGTACAATATATTGCATTTGATCTTTTTAAGTACACAAACTCGTTTTTTAGTGTTAATTGAGTATACCCGTTAGATTAACACATAAATACGGCTGAATTGGCTAACAGAATGCTAATAGGTCAACTTCCTAAAGGTTGACGTCAGCCCCTAGCCTCTTGATCAAATTCCCCTTGGTCGACGTCAGTCCTCCATGGGTCGACTTTCCCTTAGTCGATGCACCCGTGCTGGCCGACACCCCCCGCAGGCCGATCTCCGAAGGTCGATTTTCCCCTTTTGGTCGACTTCGTGAAGGTCGGTGTCATAACCATGGTCCACTATCCCTTCTTACTCGCCGTTCTGTTAAATTAACGTGTTAATTTAACAAGTGTACTCAATTGACACTAAATAACTGAGTTTGTGTACTTACGAATGTCAAATGCAATATAGTGTACTCTTTACTCCACCTCATACAAGTTGATGTACTCAATTGACCATTTCCTCGAGGAAAAACATATACTGTATAGAGGGCCCCACAGGATATATCCGTGTGACATATGAACTAGACTTTATCCATCAGTCTAAACTTTACTTTTTTACTTTAGGCAAAGGAATTAAGGAAATAAAGGAATCCACATCGTAGATACATCAAAAGCATTGTTTATTGCCAGAGAGATTAAGAAACACACCTCATCTAAGTCAACTTTTGAAATTGCTATTTTGTCCCCTTCAAGAAACTCAGGAAGCTTTTTCTCACTAACTGCCAGCCATGGCATAATAGATGTGAATCCCTTCAAAGTGACAAGCTGCCCAGTGCAATGGAAGAGTTCTCCGCCACATTCAAACTCAATTCTTATCCTGTAACAGGAATTAAATGACACACACTAGCTATGAAAGAACAAATAGTATACATGCATACATAAAGTCATAAATACAGTTCAGAAATATGAAGAGGAAATTACGTAAAAATAAATACAACATAAAAATAACATTGATTGAAATATGAACTGCAGGGTTGGAAAACATGTAGCAGCTCAGGTGAAAGCCACAGTCACAGAAGACTGGTTAGTTGAGCATCAAACCTCTACCAGATCAACTTTTCATATTGAATATGGTCACCTTCTGTGATTAGGGGATCTAACAAACTCTGATACAATGATCAGAAATCCTGGCCTCTGATAGTTGAAATCACTCGTAAACCAGAGAGGTTTGAAACATATACCACCTAGGCAGGGGTAGATAAATGTTGGTAAAGTTTATGGACTAGCGAAGTAGACACAATGGATCATCTGTATTAATTTCAGTGACACAAGCAGCAACGTTTCAAGAACGACTTCTATTTTTGCAGTCTAATAAATGCCAAAGAAAGAAATAAACAGGGTGGATTCAGGCAGAAAATGTGAACAGATCGACTTGAAGAAGATGGTGTAGGTAGGAAAGAAACAGATCGGTAGGGAAGGATCAACATATGGCTCTTGATGCCACAAGCCCACACATTGAAAGAATAACTGAAATACTGAATAAGGCTGACAAGCCTTAAGATGATGAAGAAAACTGAAAGAACTGGCTGGTGTAGAGCAACCGAGTCAGAAGAGTGAGTAGGCTGAAGGGCCGATGATGGCTAGTGATATAACTTAGTCGCAAGGTTTTAAGTTTTTACGTACTTTACATAAAGCTTTTACGTAGGTTTAAATGGTTTTACCCTTATATTTAGATGGGCTGAGTGTTATTAAAGATATGGGCTAATTATTTTTTAAAGTTTTAAACCAAAAAAAAGGCTTGTCAGCCTTTTCTGGATCAGGCGAGCCAGGCGTGCGCCTCCTGCGCTTCAGCGCTTCATGCGCTTAATGCGCTTATTCTGCGCCTGACCCAGGTACGTGCGCCTCCCCTTCTCCCAAGCGCTGAAGGCCCTGCTCGCTGCGCCTGGTGCGCTTAAGCGCTGGGGCGAGCGCTTTCGTGATAGAATAGTCAAAGCTTTCAGTTTTGTGGTGCATGCTTTGTGTTATATGCTATTTCAGAATCTGCCAGATTGTATATATTAATAATATATACAATCTGGCAGATTCTGAAATAGCATATAACACAAAGCATGCACCACAAAACTGAAAGCTTTGACTATTCTATCACGAAAGCGCTCGCCCCAGCGCTTAAGCGCACCAGGCGCAGCGAGCAGGGCCTTCAGCGCTTGGGAGAAGGGGAGGCGCACGTACCTGGGTCAGGCGCAGAATAAGCGCATTAAGCGCATGAAGCGCTGAAGCGCAGGAGGCGCACGCCTGGCTCGCCTGATCCAGAAAAGGCTGACAAGCCTTTTTTTTGGTTTAAAACTTTAAAAAATAATTAGCCCATATCTTTAATAACACTCAGCCCATCTAAATATAAGGGTAAAACCATTTAAACCTACGTAAAAGCTTTATGTAAAGTACGTAAAAACTTAAAACCTTGCGACTAAGTTATATCACTAGCCATCATCGGCCCTTCAGCCTACTCACTCTTCTGACTCGGTTGCTCTACACCAGCCAGTTCTTTCAGTTTTCTTCATCATCTTAAGCAAACTCAGTTCTCCCTCACACCACTAAACAAGATATGTGTTCTTCTTCATGCAGTCTTCTTCATCCAAATACTCTTATAGTATATTTCTATCTATGTATATAATAAAGTACTAGTATATTACTATGTATATAATACTCTATATTACTCGTAATAATGTATTAATACTCTGAATTACTCTATTACTCACAGCACTAGTATATTGTTATGTATATAATAAAGTAATAGTACTCAGTATTACTCTATATTACTCACAGCATTAGTATATTGCTTTGTATATAATAGTCATAATACTCTGTATTACTCTATGATACTCACAGCACTAGTATATTGCTATGTTATTAATAAAGTAATAGTACTATGTAGGCTCACAAGTTTAACAAGGGGAAATAGGCTCCAATTTGATTGTCTTTTATTTATAGTTTTATTAAAGCCATGAATTCTGAATTTGGTGTTTTATTTTTTGTAAATCATGACTTTATTTTGGTGAATCCTGGATTTTATATGCATTTGGTTCAATATGATGTTACATACATCATATTTGGTAATTATAGAATAGTATATGTTTTTTTTGGTGAATCCTGGATTTTATATGCATTTGGTTCAATATGATGTACATACATCCTGGCTTTATTTGCGCCTTGCGCCTCAGGCGCTGGAAGGCCCCTAGCGCTTCAAGTGCGCCTTTCGACTTTGACTACCTTGCTATCACCCATATAATCCAATGGAATCTTTAAATTTTAGACATATTCTTCAAGTGTCTCCCACTCCTAAGGTATCACCACAAAACTTCAACTCTTAGTTTCCCAATCTCGCAGTGATCGCCCAACCAGTGTTTAAGAAGGCATTGAAGCACGGGTGTATTCACTAACAGTTTATTGATGGAAAAAAAGTGAAACTAGATTTTTTTAAACATAGTGAGCCAGTTGCTGTTGGCAGCCTCCTCTTTCAAAATTTAAAAAAACAAATGATACTGTTTATAAAGAATAGAATAACATAAATTCCTTAAAGAAATGACGTGGGATGATGGGATCATATCTAATAGTGAGAATCTGAGATGGAGTACTGGTGCAAGACTCTCGTAGTAACCACCATCAACGTTAGACATTAGATGCTTGAATTCAATTTATCAAATGAGAAACTGAGTAGGAATTCAGACTACTAAATGACTCACTATTAAACGCTTGAAAAATAAAAGATCGTTAAATATAAAACATCATAGCCATAGCAGTAATTCTGAAGAGATATTTGTATTGACACTTTCAAATGACACTCCAATGTGGTGCATTTGATACTTGTATACTACTAATTAAAATACTAAGCCCCACACAAAAATTAAAAAATACAAATCGAGTGTTGAATGAGAAAATCATTTGAAAATGCTAATATCAAATAAAAGTTGACTCAATACGTTGAGTTTGCCCACATAGAGTTAATATAATGTAGTCAATAGAAATATACAATACTTATCAAATTTAAGATATATATTTAATAAATAATATTTTCTAAATTTATAAGCTTTCTATTTATAATTATCTCAGGGCGAAGACAAGGCCAAATCCCACTTGAAGAAACATAATGACTTCACGTTCACATTAGGTTTAAATGTTTTATCTATGTGATTTTATGACTTAACAATGACAGGGCCATATCAAGATAGAATTAACAAAACACCTCAATAGCCCAATTTCAGATAAAGTTACAGGCATCACAACTCAGATAAAGTTACAGCAGCACCGCAGCACAAGGCACAAGCCAGGAGCTACAGCTAACATTTTGGACATGGATAGCCAGTTACAGCTTTTACCTTCTATACTTGCAATCTGGAGATAAAGTTGCAAGAAAATGCTGACAAATATACTGGTATAGCTTCCAAGCATCATTCCCCAAAGTATCTTCAGATGCTGAACGCATTGGTGTAATTGGAGGATGATCACCAACGTCAGTGCCTCCCCGTGGTTTATGAAAGCCTTCAGATAATAGTCTTTGTGTGTAATCACCAAACATAGGGTTGCATTTCAATGCTCCAAGTGTGCCTCTAAAGTCAAAAGAAGAAGGATATGCTGTACTTTCTGTACGGGGATAGCTACAATAGAACAAAATAGACAAAAAAAATAACGAAAAAATATAGTCAGGTTACATTGATAAGTTAGTTACTTAACTTCCCACAGATGCTAATAATCACTGTTTGTATAATTATATTCATGTAAAAAAATTGGATATGCATGGATAGTAAGTTTCTCAGTTAAAACACTATTTTAGTCCCAAAATGAAACTCTGACTTTGAATTTCGTTCCTCAATGTCGCTGTCAATCTTTGGCCAGTATTATTTACATTTGTACACGACAACAAGGCATATTTTGATTCATGTCACGTGATGTGACTAAGTGACACATTTGTGTACACTAATAAAATAATTTTTTATTTTTATTTCAATAATAATATATGTTAAAAGTGAAAAATTCGGAGAATCGATTTGGTTTTATGCCGGGACGCTCAATAACTGAGACCATTCACCTTCTTAGACAAGTTGTGGAGAAGTATAGAGACACTAAAAAGGATCTGCATTTGGTGTTCAATGACTTAGAAAAGGCATGTGATAGGGTACCTCGAGAAGTTCTTTGGTGGACCGTAACTAGAAAAGGCATATCACGTAAGTATATCAGCATCATCATGGATATGTATGATGCTTGTACTACAAGTGTCCGCACTAGTGTAGGGAGGACCATAGAGTTCTCTAATACTATCGGAGTGCACCAAGGATCTGCTCTGAGTCCTTTCTTATTTGCTATAGTCATGAATGAACTTACGAAGTCAATTCAAGAAGATATACCGTGGTGCATGATGTTTGCCGACGATATTGTATTGATTGATGAGACACAATCCGGTGTTAAAGCAAAGTTGGAAGTATGTCGACAAACATTGGAGAGCAGGGGTTTCAAACTGAGCCGAAGCAAGACTGAGTATATGGAGTGCAAGTTCGGTGGAGGTAGAAAGAGTAGCAACAGTGGGATTACACTTGATGGTAAGGAGATACCGGTGTGTGATATGTTTCGTTACTTGGGATCCATAATTCAGAAGGATGGTGAATTAGATGGAGATGTATGCCATAGAATCAGAGCTGGGTGGATGAAATGGAAGAGTGCTTCAGGATTTCTATGCGATCGAGGTATGCCGACTAGACTGAAAGGTAAATTTTATCGTACAGCAATTAGGCCGGCATTAATGTATGGCGTAGAGTGTTGGGCGGTGAAGCAATGCCACATTCAAAAGATGAGTGTGGCAGAGATACGTATGTTGCGTTGGATGTGTGGACATACCAGAAAAGACCGCTTGAGGAATGAGGTAATCAGACAAAAGGTGGGAGTAGCACCTATAGAAGATAAGATGCAGAAGTCTCATTTGCGGTGATTTGGGCATGTGCGAAGAAGACCGAGTGATGCACCTATTAGACGACTTGAGGGGTGGGGAGAAGAGTCAGAGAAGAGAGGGAGGGGAAGACCCAAACAGACTTGGATTAGAGGAATCAAAAGTGATATGTGTCTTCTTGGGTTGGATGAGAGTATGGCTTTGGAGAGAGCAAAGTGGAGGGCGCACATCCGCGTGGACGATTGATGTCTTGTCTACCTTTCCTCTCTTTTTACTTTTATCGTTTATCTTCCTTATCTTTTTATATTCTTATGTTATTTTTATCTTCTAGCTTTTTTATGCTCTTTTATTTTTTATCTTTTATCTTTCTTATATTCTTGTGTTATTGTTATCTTATATTTATTTATCTTTATTTTATTCATTTTATCTTACTTTTTTTTCTTTTCTTGTCCGTCTCCTCTTTTTGGCGTCGATATCATAGATCGATTCATGTTAGTCGATCCCAAATTCTTTTGGGATTAAGGCTTGGATGTTGTTGTTGTAATAATATATGTTAAAACAATTTGTTCAAGAGTACTTTCAAGTAATAGATTAACATAATTTTTAAACGACTAACAGTCAAAGGCTCAAAGCTAAGAAATTCCGACTCCAAAGTCAAGGTGGGAACTTCATTTTAGGACGGATGGATGGACAGAGGAACTGCAAATTCATTTCAGTTCTCCTTATGAAAACTAGACCCATTACTGCTTCACTACCAGGTTGAACATTTGTTCTCAATACCCTTAATGGGTTCCAAGTTTACTATAATATTAGGAATAGTGTAAGCGAAACAATCAATCATAGTTGTACTATGATTAATATTACGTAGAGTACTGCTACTAAAAGTCAAGCAAAAGAAACCTTTTCAACTAATATAGTATCCATGCACACAGTGATTTATCATGTAATACCATAAAAATAATGATATTGTCAAAAGCAAACTGATAGGCAGTGAAAAAACCTGATAAAACCTTGTGTGTAAAGACGCTCAGCTAATTGCATAGCCAAATGTGGACCAAAGCCTAGCGCACTTGAAGCAACCTGAAAGTTGTAAGATACAACATCATGGAACAGAACTAGAGAAAATGTATTCAGATTTAAGAGGTTAGGGATTAACCATTCAGCTTTAATTGAAGTTAAGCACAACAACATCCATAATTTTGTTCATACAACAGTACTAGGTGAGACTCTCATAGAAAGGAGAAGTGCTAGAGTTTGGGATTGACATACATTGCAAGATAAAGTACATAGTAACAAGTAATGGAGTAATGTAATTTCTGAACAGAAAAGAAGAAATAAAAGTGGTGGAAACAATAAAGCTCTGACCTTTAGAAGATTAACTGTATTCAAACCGGAAGGACGACCTTTCGATTCCTGATTTTCAGATATACGAACAACTCTCATGATTCCATCCTCTCTAATTACATTGCGAAACAATGCAGCGACCTGTGATAGCACGGCATGGTTTGCTTACATGTATGGACATGAAACAAAGATTAACGGATTCCATTTTATAACAGTTAGAAGATGCACTCACATCTGCATCAAACAACCTGTTTCGTTCCCATTCTAATTTAAGTTCATTTCCCTTATATATTATGTATGGATTCAACATCCAAAATTTCTCTGGCTTAAATGTAGTAATTTGCAGGTAGCGTTCGACACAAAATCCAAGTGTAGGAGTTTGACAGGGCCCATAGCTGAAAACAGAGAGGGGCAATATCATTAACAGTGATGATGGAATATAATTATTCATCACCAATATGCAACATATATCAACCATGAACCCAATATAAAATCATGAACCATACTTCTGAATTTCATATATATATATATATATATATACATACATATTTATATTTGTTGGTTTACTTGGTTAAACTAAATATATCATTTGAACCTTGTATGTGGCTCTCAACAATTTTTAGCAAAATCACGTGAACAATTAACTTCGCTTAATCAAACCAGATTCCTTCTTGGGACAACAAAAGAGTTTGAAAGAGGACTCTCTTTTTTAACAAAGGGAGTATTATAGTGATATCCCATGTTACTTGAGAACAATGAGAACAATAAAAATAGCAAACAGCACATTCATAAAGAAGTGCAAAGAAAAAAAATACGGCATGCTAAAATTGCCAATATAAAGGAGACATAAAGAAGCCTTAAACTTTTTCTCTAAGCAGTATGATGCAAACGACAATTGCAGACCTCTCATGGAGGGAGGGAGAGAGGGGGAGAGAGAGAGAGAGAGAGAGAGAGAGAGAGAGAGGACATACGAGATAACTCTTGCATCAAGATTGCCATATTTTCCATTAAAATAACTAGTCTGGAAACGTGTAAATGCAACTCCAACTTTCAGATCAATCTCCTGGCGTGCATCTACAGCCAATGCCTCATCTTTGTTAGGTGGAACAAGGCTATTCATTGCCTTTTGAATGTCTTTTTCAGTAACAGAAGAGAATCGAGCTCTGTGCACTCTTTCCCTGTCACTCCCGTCAAATCCAGTGCACTCAATTACTGAAACAGATTATAGAAAAGCAAAACCAAGAAAACATCAAATAAGAGCTCCATGAAAAGCTTAAGAACATAATATAATCATCATCATTACCCCATGCCGCAAAGGCTCCCACCTACTGTGGGGTAAGGGGTAAGGAGGTCGGATGTATGCAGTCTTAGTGAGCCATTTCGCTTTATTCCATCATATTCCCAAGCCAAAAAATAGTGAATCTTTGGCTCCATTGCAAATGATGGAAATTAAGAAGATAATATAAAAAAGAAAATTAGTAAAAAGATAAAAGAATATAGAAGATAAGAAAGAGGAAAAACTAAAGAATACTCCCTTCGTCCCATACAATTCTTCCCACTTACCTTTTTGGGTGATAGATCGCTAATAATTTCACAGTATAAACGTAGCAGATCAATGAAGAAATATACTGTAAATGATCAACGATGTTTATTGAACGGGAAACGATCACAATACGTATACAAGCCTTGGGACTGTTCGAGAAGCCCACTCTCCAAGCCAAAAGCCAACTGAATAACAACCTGCCTTATTTAGCTACCCCCTCATCTATTTATATTTAATACTCCCGTAGGTATAGACTACTAATATAGCCCATAACCGTTTTCCTGTTATTAATATTACAGGCCCACTTATTATTATCTATAATAATAGGCCCACTTATTATCTATTCCTATCAATACTCCCCTCCTAAACAACCACCTTGTCCTCAAGGTGGGTGATAGGCAATAGCCATGATCTTCCACTTCCACTTCATTCTTGCACCTCTCCCCTCCCGGTACTTTGCTTATTTCTGGGCTTTTAGCTTCTGTTCTTGGATCTTCATCATTGCTTTCTTCACCTTTGGCTTTTCACTCCATCCAAGTGATTCCTGAATCTTGTTGTTGTCATTACTTTGGAGGATAATTCCTTCAGGCTGCTCATCTACACGAATTTCCTCTAATTCTTCTCCTACTTTCATGAGTTCATATCAATTGCTCTTCCTTCATAAAACCCAAAACAACCATCACCGGTCTCCTGCAGGATCTCAGTCATGGTTTTCAGTGATCTACTGATCTCTTACTGGAATTCAAGTGTGGATCCCTTGAATCTGCTCAACTACTCCCTGACGATCCACGAGGTACCATATCTGGGAGACATCGATCACAACCGCCTCAAAGGTAGGATCCAGCTCCAACTTGATTCCACCCAAATGTATAATTCTAGATTGAAGCAGTTCCCTGATGATCCTTTCAATCTCATCCTTCTGATATTGCGGATACCTGTAGGGCCTTAACTTAGGTATTTCTGCTCCTTCCTTTATGTTGATAGCATGGTTACAAGTTCTGGTAGGAAGTAAGTAGTAACCCTTGTATAGGATTTGACACCTCAGGAAATTCAGCCAAGATTTCTTCCCAAATGGGATCCTTCTGAGGGCCTTCCTCCTCTTCTCCTATTCTGCCATCACAGAACACCATATAACCATCCCCAATATCCCTCAGGATCTTTGACATAGTCTTCAATGATATTTCAATAGAATTTAGCTTAGGACCCCCCTGAATGGTCTGAATTATCCCAGACTGTTGCCACTTGATACTATGCTTCTGCAAATTGACTTCCACATCCCCCAAAGTTGTCAACCATTCCATGCCAAGGACCAAATCAGTTTCCCCCAACTCCAGGATGTAGAAGTTTTGTTGGATGACAGTTCCTTGCATACTCAAAATCAAATCCTCACATCTGCCCTTATTGGAGATCTTATCAGCATTTCCAATCTGTATCTTATAGTCTAAAATAGTGTAATAAGGTAAATTGAATTGTTCTACCAATTTCTGAGATATGAAATTGCGTGAAGCCCCACTATCAATCAAAACCTCTATATGCTTTTCTCCATTGGCCCATTTCAGAATCCCCTGCACCTTGAAAGCCCTCATGCAGGGTATCCCTTCCTTACTCATAATAGAAAGTTGCATGGACTTAAATTCTATGGTAGTTACTTCTGCTGCTGCAATTTCCACGTGTGCACCTTCTACTTCTTCCTCACTATCAGAATCTTCCACCAATATGAATTTATAATTCTTTAATTTGCAGGTATGTTTCTTGTTCCATTTTTTCCCACACTTAAAGCAAAGTCTCTTCCTGCTCCTGTCCTGATATTCTTCCTGTGACAGTTGTGGCCCTACCCTTCTGATGTCTGAGGGATGAATCTTTGTAACACTGGTCCCCCTAGAATTGAACCAAGACTGGTTATTCTTACTATCTGCCCCATTCTTCTCACTATTATGAGGTCCAGTATTGCCAGGTATGGACTTGTACCCCTCAGTCCAAGCTTGTGGTTTAACAGATGCAGTTCTCTTCTCTTTCCAAAGAAATTTGTCTTCCTCCCTTCTCTTCCAATATATAGCTTCATTCCTACTCTCAATCAAGAGGGCTCTGTCCATAATTTCATTCAATGATGTGGTATTATGTAATTTAATTTCAGCTTTTTATATCCTCCTTCAGGCGTTTCCATCATTTGCAATGGAGCCAAAGATTCATTATTTTTTGGCTTGAGATTATGATGGAATAAAGCAAAATGGCTCACTAAACTGTCTGCGCTTCTTTGTAATGAAGCAGCAGTCAGTCCATGCAATTTTGGACGCGATTTTCACTATGGGTCATCCGGAAACAGCCTCTCTGTGCTTTAGTATAGGGGTAAGACTGCGTACATCCGACCCCCCCTTACCCCACCGTAGGTGGGAGCCTTTGCGGCACTGGGGTAAATGAAAATGATGATATCCTCCTTCAGGCCATTAATGAAAATTCCTCTAAGGATCTCCATATCCACATTGATTTGAGGAGCTATCACCATTTCAAATTCATCTCTAAACTCCCTAACAGTTCCAGTTTGCTTCAAGCTAAGCATGGTCCATATGGATTTTGAATTAGGTCCGCCTGAAATCTACGTATAACAGAGGCTTTTAGATTCTCCCAATTTTTCCTTTCCGTTTGGTGTTCCCACCAGATGAACCAGTTTACAACCCTACCCTCCATAGCGACTAAGGCAGCTTCTACCTGTTCCTCTTCATTAATTTGATTCAAACAAAAATACCATTCCATCTTTACAATCCAGCTATATGCCCCTTCCCCATTAAAAACAGGTAAATCAATTTTTCTTCCTGTATATACTGGAAATCTATGAACATCGTCAGTCCTTCTGTGATTTTGGATGTAAGAGTGGTTTGGATTACCTCCGGAAGTCGCCGGACTGTTAGATCGCCAAGTGTGAGGTCGGATTTGCGATCGCGATCTCTCTCTGGATCGCAGTTGTTCGGTCATCGCGGCTATGGATGCCGCCATGTTTGCCGCCAAATTCTCCAATGCAACACGATGATCATCCACCGATGATCGCAATCCCTGTTGTACTTCCGACATAATCCCTTGCATCTCTGCTATATTTCGTTCCACATTCTCCATGCGCAACTCCATTCTCGCTCGTGTCCTTACCATTCACCACCGAACGAAATAGTTGCTGAGGTCGCCAATCAATTCCGGTCACCAGGAACTAGTGCTCTGATACCAATGATAGATCGCTAACAATTTCATTGTGTAAACGTAGCAGATCAATGAAGAAATATACTGTAAATGATCAACGATGTTTATTGAACGGGAAACGATCACAGTACGTATACAAGCCTTGGGACTGTTCGAGAAGCCCACTCTCCAAGCCAAAAGCCAAATGAATAACAATCTACCTTATTTAGCTACCCCCTCATCTATCTATATTTAATACTCCAGTAGGTATAGACTACTAATATAGCCCATAACCCTTTTCCTGTTATTAATATTACAGGCCCACTTATTATTATCTATAATAATAGGCCCACTTATTATTTATTCCTATCATTGGGATATGTATCTTGTACTCAACCACAACCATACATTTCCAATTTGATCTCACTTTCTTAAACTGCGAGCCAAGTCAAACCAGGAAGAATTTTATGCGACGGAGGGAGTACAAGATAAGAGCATTTCTCCACACGTATATTTTCTCTCCACTTCACTCTCTCCAAATGGAGAGAGAGATGGGGAAGAAAAAAGAAAAGAAAAATAGTGTAAATTATGTATGGTAACAAGTTTCAGGTACTATATACGAAGTATATAGCAATCTTATCGAGAAAGGTACCTTCAAAGCATATGTTTTCTCCTTCACGATCACAGTCCAACCACAATACTAGGTATCCACACCCACGTGCTTCATGGCTTAGATGCCTACAAATGTGAGCCTTACTTCCAGGAGATTAGATAGCTAGCTTTATCAACTAATATGAAAGATATGTCATATGAGCAATATTTATTCACTTTTAAGGGAAGAAGATCTTTATCGTGAGCTAAAATAAGTAAACTCCTGTTATAAGGAGACATGCTCAGACAAGATTTTATAATTAAAAAACTTTGGTTATGAACTAACTTGTTGAAATATTCATTTACTGGAAGCAGTCTACCGGTATGGGGATGCCTGTTGAAAGCTTTATCATACTGGACCACTAGAGATTGGAATCCAATGATATTTTAAAGAATATAGATATCTATATACACAAGGAATGTCCTAAAGCTATAACTAAAGGTGGATGAACTGGGCATTGAAGAAGAGCAATGAACATCAATGGAAAAGTAATGTTTACCAGAGTCCAGCCACTCCAGCAATAGTATTTCTTTACTTCTCCAAAATACAAATTGGAATTTCAAATATTCTAGGAATATACACTTCTGTTTACAGTTAAAACAGTGGCAAAGCACTCCATTAATGTTCTACGTTTTATGAAATACTTGTTGATTATCGTTTTTCATCATTAAAAACATTTTAAGTAACTATATGTCAAGGTTAGACAGCAATGCAAATACCATTGGTGTTTGGCAGACAAACAAAGCGGGCTCCTTACCTTGGGGTTTGTCTCTGTCTTACGAACTGGAGCTTGAAAGAGATTCAGAGGATCTGTCGATGCCCAGTCTTGATATGATGCTGGAAAATCTACACTGAATAATCGCAAAAGAGAGCTTCAAACTAGACCTACTCACTCATAAGATTGGATTATATATGCTGCACGTATAAATGCCAAACGAGCAAATGAGATACACAGGGCAAGCGTATCATTAAACCAAGCAAATATCATTGAATGAACTTATCATAACATGAATAGTCACAAACCTGAACACATGACCAATCACTGAAGTCACTCTAAATTGTACACGAGAGCCAAGAAAAGTCCCATCAAATTCATGCACATCAGTACTACCCCTCCGTGTAAACATCTGCAACAAGTGAACAACTTAAAGGTCTGGAAGCAATTTATAGAATTCACAAAATGCACATTATGATTTAATGCTCCTATCAGGCAGCAATACTCCACCAGGCCATTGCTCAATTGCCTCGCATTTTCTTCATTTCTTTCACACTAATGAATTAACTGACCTCAGCTCACTTGGGCTAAATGCTGAATTCAGTTGTGCTTTTAGATTTTTTAAAAACAACCAACCACAAAAAACTAATAAGCTTTGGCAGTGTTATCTAACTGAGGGCACTTTAATTGTTCAAGTGACTTCGAGACTCACCAATTTAGAATATTAAGATGCCTTGAAACCCCAGTATCAACCCACGGGACATAGAAATAATGGAGCCAAATAATAAAAGAAAGGGTATGCATACTTGGCCACCGGAGAGCACGGAGGCAATCGAGAGAGCAATGCTCGGCTTTTCTGCCACCTGAAAGTTCACAAAGCGTAAACATGGGCAGAAAATGAAAACAAATACTTTAAAAGTTCTGAACAGGAAGAGCTTTGTCTGACCATGAGAACCCTCGGCGCCATTGACGATATAAATCAAGTGTTGATTAAGTTTTACAGGTAGTATTGTAGGCCTGCAAGGTTGCGAGCAAAACTGGAGAAGAACGTGGACCAGTTGGAGCTGAACGGCGGATTAGCTCTTGAAGAAGGGTCTGTGGGCAAAACTTCACGCAGAACTCAGGTTTGCGTATAAGAGTTCTTTGGGTTTCAAAAACGACGCTGTTCAATTTTAAAAAAAAAAAAAAAACTTTTTTTTTTTTAATTTTTTCCAAAATTCCAGCCGGGTCCACTGACCCCCTAACCTCCGCCCCTGAATTTGTAGTCACAACTACTATCATGAAGCCTGAAAGCTTCGAGAGTTGGCGCTTTAGGCTCAACGACAACTGCAGTCTGCAGTACCGTGTGATTGTTCGACCCGATTACCCAAATTAAACCATTCGCCGGATGCCGAAAAAAAGTTTAAATAAGTAAGATTTGATTTCGCGAGCTGAATTGTGTAGTAAGTTTTGAAATATTTGATAATATATTTTTCGACTTATCAATCAACTTTTTCATTGTATACGTAAGTTTTGATTTCGCGAACTGAATTATGTAGTAATCAGAGAAAGTAAGATCAAAGTCACTTTTCTGATTGTATTGGCAGAAATTATTATATACATGATCATTTTATTTAATCTTCATATAACTTTTTTCTTATTCTATTCATAAAAAATAGTTTAAATATAATTTTTTCATAAATCAACAGATTCATAATGAACTTCATAAATTTCAGCGACACTTCAATCACAGTTTCATAAATTTCAACAGAATCAACCGATTCAACCAATTTTTATATTAAGAAAGAGGCTCCTAATGCTTCTTCCACAAAATCATCCTAAATATGGAAGTATATATGGAACAAAGTATGAAACTCATGTAGAGTAGGGAACAACCAATTCCTAAGGAGGCAACAGAATGCCAAAAACATGTAATTTGATTAATTAGTGTGTACTGCTAGCCCATATTGAGTATATCAAGTGTACTCAATAATAAACTCCATAAATTAAATTCTACCAATACATCTTTTATAGTCAAATGAAATTAAACCCCTTTTTTAAGTTTGTTATACATATAATCTCAAATAAAGATCATGATGACTCTGCATCACTAAATGAACTATCTTATACATATTGACTAGTGCAACGTCTAGACATGCCTCGCTAACGTTAATTTGGTATGGGGTCAGATGAATAATACTAATGTACATTTTTTATTATTTATATGATAATCCAAAGTTTGAATATATTGAATTTCTATTATTAACTAATCACAAAAGATTATATTAAGTTTGTTCATCATCTGGGTTTTATTACTCCCTCCAACCTATTAATTTGTTAGACACACTTATTTTTTGGGCGAATAAAAATATGAACGATTCCTAAAACCATCACTGATTTTTTATTCATCACTATGCTCTTTATGTATAATTTCATCTTTTACTTTTTATGCACACCACACTTTCTTACTTTTACATATTAAAGTTGTAAAAGAATGGGAGAAATGAGTATGTGCTCGAGAAAATTGGCTTCATTTCAAGCATTCTTTATGTTAACACAAGTCTTTGTTTTTGTGCCCATTTAGTCAAGATATCAACTTTGCAACATAGTATTAATTTCATTTATATTACTTATTTTTTTGAACATTTAATTATGTGTTTTATAATGATTATGGTCCATTAATTCGGAGTCTTGAGTTTAAGCTAGGAGATTTGATTTAATTATATTACATTCGAGTTTATTTGCAACATAGTATTAATTTCATTTATAATTTCCATTTTTGTATCGAGTGACAAGATATTTACGGATTTTCTATTAAGCCTTGTATGTATTAAGATGTCTATCTAAACTAAAACCTTTTTCTGGATTAAGGGATATCTAAATATGAAGTTGTTTACTTTTTGTGTTGAATAAACGGTCTAAATTGATAAAATAATCAATCTAATATTATTCTTGAGTTGTATAGCCCCTATAAGAAATTTCATTGATTAACATATATAAATTTATTTCGTAGTTGACTTACAAAAATCAACAGAATGACTCAGTCGATTTTGTAACTGAATGACTAAGCAGTGCTTTCAAATAATTCGTAAGTGAACATGACTTAATAATTGAACGATTAATCTATTAAATTGAAACTGTATAGCTCTTGGTGTAATTTATTGTTGTAACTATGACACTGTATGTAGTAGCCTATATTACATCGGTGGGTGTAGCTCAACTGGTAGCAAGGGAATGCCACAAGGGTTAGGTCCCGAGTTCGAATCCCGGCAATTGCGATGAGAGGTTACTATGCTAAAAATGCATAGCGTCTCCGCAAGTACCGGAGGACAGAGCCTCATTCTCTATCTGTCAAATTGAGATTATGGTCCAATTTATATCCTCCCAACGTACCGTCCGGTCGGGGTCGGGAGCCCTCAAGGGTCAGGTGTCATCCTTTTTTTTAGTAGCCTATATTACTTATTAATCTTATCAACCAACTTAATAATAAGTATCCCATATTAATCTTATCAATCTTATCACATATTAACTCATTATTTGTGTTGTCTGAATGACCTTGTAATTTACACGAATCACTATATGGGTGAAATCAATATAAATTTCACTAGTATTTCTTATTAGTCATGTCAAATAATTTAAGAAGTACTCTTTGTTAAATATAATTCAAAATACTCAGTATTAGATGATGAGTACGGCGAAAAAGTATTTAAACTAAGTTCCTAAGTATTTGATGGGCACGGGACCCTGTTTTTCGACTTATCATATTTATTGGTCAACATTTTTATTTCGCGCGCTGAATTGTTTAATAATAAAACATGTAAGGTTAGAGTTACTTTTCTGGATTTCTTTGTAAAAGTTACTAAGTTACTTAGCAGAATCAGTCAATCCAATCAATTAATCAATACAACTGATTTAGACGTGAGCTCTAAATATTGGATGCGCTTAGCTTTTTTTGGCATAAGCGTAAGAACACCATCCCAAAGCTGCGTTTTGCAGAGTTTTGTATATGGTTTACGTATACGGGTGTTTTGATGACTCAAACATATATGGTCATTTACCTATCTAAACAAGTCCTACCTAAATTTAATTATATTACACATAATTAAATGATTAAATGACCATTCACGAAGAAGGAAAGCAAAGAAAACATTGAAGAGGGGTCAAATGGTAGGAAGAAGTAGTAGTTTTTATTGATCACAAATATATACTGCAGAGAGGTACGTACAACATCACTGCGTTATTGAAGATAGAAGGGTACGGTGGCCCATATTTAGGGACCGGGTCGGACCCATACCATTCATATATGGACTTAGCTAGCTGCTTGCTAGTTAATCATCACACACCACACACCACACTCCTCAACTAGCAGCATATCATGCCAGCCCATATATATAGATAGATATGAATCCATATTAATTAATAAAAAAGCTTTGATTAATTATATAATAATTATTCAAAAACCTTTACTTAATTAGTTAATTAATACGATATACTTCGTATAATTATGGCTGGCCAGCCACAGCTGCATCCACTGCCTCTCCCTTGTAAGCGCAGCACCTCTGACATCCGTAATAGCCTCTGCCACAGCATCCGTATCTGCATCCTCCGCCTCCGTGGCCGCCGCCTCCTCCTCCGTGACCGTCGCCTCCGTACGGCCCGCCTCCTCCTCCTCCGTAATGCCCGCCGCCGCCGTATGGCCCGCCTCCTCCTCCTCCGTAATGGCCGCCGCCGCCGTATGGGCTGCCGCCTCCCCAGCCATCCACATGTTTGTGATCCTCATTTGCTTTCTCAGCTACATTTTGAGTTGAAGTCTGGGCGAGATCCCTAGCGGAGACCTCGGAAGCGATGAGGAGAAAAAGGGCCAAAGAAAGGCCTATCAGAATAACCGCCTTTGAACTCATTTTTTGTAATAAGCTTACTAGCTAGCTAGTGTGGAAAGATGGATGAAGAAAAGGTAAGAAATGGTGTGTCCATTTATAGGGTTGTGGACGGAGAGTTGAGACAGAGCTCATAAATGCTATGGACCCATCATTTCGCTGGTTAGTTGATGAGATTTCAAATCCGGCCTGTACAGGTTGCAACTAGCAATATAATAGATTGTCCCTAGCCAGATAAACCAGAGATGAAATTGTAATAATACTACCTCCTTCCCAAATTGATTTCAAATTAGACTTTTCTTGGTCAAATGTTTTCATTTTATTTACTTAATTAGGATGTCAATTTTTAATAATATTCTGATTTGGAGTTTACAACTTTGAAGAGATCTTAATATAGTTTCTGAATATATAAATTTTAATTATTAAAAAAGGAATTAATTATCGATAAGGATCATTGACTTTTTTTATAGATAAAAAATGTTTACTTCGCACAACAATTTGGAACGGATGGAGTATTATTTATTTATAGTGATAATCACAACAATCATTATATAACTACAACGTATAATATACATCTCCACAGTGACGGACCCAGATATTTGTGAGAGAGGGGCACACTAGACAATAAACTTAGTCTATAATAAAAACTCTGAGCCCAAAATAGGGCACTGATTTTTACCTTAAGTGCTACTAGTGAATTTCCGGGCCTGAAGCGGGAGGACGTGCCCTCCCTAGCCCCCCTTAGGTCCTCTACTCCATCCCCATGCAATAATATGATATACATCCACATGCAATAATATGATATGCGAATAACGAGCATATCCATACGACCATAATAATTTAATTCCGTATTAATAACAATGATAATAATATCACTTTGAAACAGTGGCATACCCAGGATCATAATTTGGAGTGGGTAGCATTAAGAAATTTTCAAAAAAAAATTACACATTATTTTACAATAAAATACAAAAAAATTAAAATTTAGCGTGGGACGAGGCCCGGTTGGTCCCCTCTACCTCCCCCTACTTTGAATTTAATCCAAGTACTTTAATCCAAGTACGGAGTGTATATATACTAAGCATATAATAAAAGCAAACTATTATATACAAAGTATAAGTATATCACTACAAAAAACAGGAAATTGATCGAGTTTTGCCGAAATTATGCGTAGTTGTAGATTTGACAATATATGAAATTTGTGTCAAAAACACTTTGACACGAACTATTTTATACGAAATCAAGTAAATCCATATCAAATTCTTGGTAGTCTCCTATTTTTTTTCGGTACATACATTGTTGAAGTTTTTATAAACATTTATTTGAAATATTCCGGGAGTACAAACTATGTACATGCGTTTACAACCCTCGTGAATTGGTTGGACTCAAACTTATTAATTACGGATTATGTGATAGGTTTAAAATTCCAAAATGGGACTACTATATTTTTCTTTTCGAAATAGGAGTTGTTACTATCATGTATGAAAAATACTGTCATAATTGAAATATATTGTAATTAAATATAATTAATATTGTCATGTTAAATGCACTGTAATGCAACTATTTGGCAGTCACGCCTGCAAGATGACAATAAATCCTGTCATGTTAGTCTTATTTCGGGAATAAATATATAGTAGTCTATTTTGAAATTCTAAATTCCATTTACTTCTATTTTGGGAAATCTCCGGTGAGTTAATTGCATCACTTTTTTGGAATGGACCCATGTGGACACTAGGCTGTTTGCAAGTTGCAAGTCGTCATGTGGTAAAAGTTAAAGCATTTTTTTATCATTCACCTCAAAAATGTTACACCCATGAAAAATAATGTACTCTTAATTGGATTATCAAGATAAATTGCCGATCTTTCTTTTAGTTTTTTGATCATCAACTTAAATTACTCTTAATCTTTTACTTTATTTATCAAAGTTTTATGAAAATCGAATTATTTTTTGCAGGCATTGTAGCGGTTTTAATGTAGTTTTTGAATATGTAAATTTTATTTACTAAAAATAAACTTAGTTTTCACAACGATCATTTAACTTTATCGTTGGTCAAACTTCGTAATCCGTAATTGGAAGAACAATTAGGGACGAAGGAGTACCTAGTTTAAAATATAATGATTGGATGAACATATGTGCGGAGTATGAAATTAGGAACAAGTACAAGAGAATACTCTTTCCAACTATTTTACCTGACTTGTTTTCCTTTTTAAATTTGAGTTGCTCTAAAATAAGTGTTACACTTTCCTTTATGAAAAGAAATACGTAATCCACGTGATTTCATCTTATTATGCTTATATTTCAACCACATAAAAATAAAATAAAATGTAGGTAGTATTTACAAAATAGGTAGTATAGTTTTAACATCCCTAGAAGTGAGACTAACCAAATTCACGCATATCACATACGTAGTATGTCGCGTAAAGTTATACTGAAGTATCCCCAACGGGTTCTCAATTTATCATGGGATGCTTGGTTAATTAGTTCTAGAACTTCTAATGAGTCTAGGTATTTGTGTTGGAGTCTATTAATTAAGAGAAATTATCATTGATCCCTCTCGAGGTTTAATGTCTTATCACACACACGTACTCTTGCGCTATTAGAAATATATGATTACTCCCTCCTTATCCTTTAATGATGATTAAATAACTTTGAATCTAAGATTCAGAGAAAATTATAGACATAATTCTATAATCTTTTACGTTTTGTCCGCTTTTAATATTGTAGTTTATTCAATCACAAATTTGGTCGGGTAATTCATAAATTTGCCTGTACTAAATACCTTTTCATCGTGTGTTGAACCGAATAAAAGTATGATCAAAATTGACCTCACCGCTAGGTTGTTCGGTTTACCCCTTTGAATTTGAAATGTTAGTATATTTATTCAACTAAAGTTGACCAATTTATGCTAAAATAGACCTAAATTGAAATAAATCATTTTAAATGAACCAAATCGACTCAAAAGTGAAGTTTACTTTCGGTTTCATCATTTTCAAAATTCATCATTAATATTGAATGGAAGAAACTTCCTAATTTTCACTTTGGACACTCTTTGTTATCACTAGAAATGAGATCATTATAAATTTAGTAATAACTTGCAAATTAATATTTGACAAAATATGAACATGTAACATGTTTACATGTAAAATAGTGACAAAGACAGACTAGTTTTAGACGAGTTCCACACCCAAATCGGTTAGTGCTAAATAATTAGGGTGGCGCGATACGTATATTTTCGATTACAATCTCCTATCTTGTCTAGGTTTGCTCTTGGTTTGTAATATTTTTAAAATCATCTATCCCTCTACCGACCTACTTTTTCAACTTTTAAATGGAGTCTAACCCATTTTAGAATGTTCTAAATGGTTTTAATGCAAAAAAGGGGATCGAGTCTAGGGTGCCAATCTCGGTTCCAAAAAGGGAGGCCCAAATGCTCTTTTTCATCGGTCTGGATTCGGTCCCGACCTAAAATCTTAAATAAAAAATCGGCCATTCCCAAGACCGGGCCTTATCCTCCCCTAATTTGAACTACATAACTAAGTATATCTCATACTTAGTTATGTAGTACAAATTTACAATAGGTACAATAGTCCCCTAAAAGTCATTCACCAACAACTATTTTAGGTGTAAACAACATACATTCCAAAAGTGTTGCTAAATTGTAATAATCCTAAATAGTGTTTGATTCAAACTTTTAGAATATTTTTATTATGTCTAAAAATATACTCCCTATTAGTGGATGGTTTTAGGAATACTACTGAAGCTAATAATCCTTTTTCAAGTGAGAAAAAAGAATTTCCGACGAGTGATATATATTTCACCAAGATTTCTACAATCTCACATGAAGTATATATTTTCAAACTTTAAAAAAGTAATAGAGATTTAATGTTTTAAACTCGTACCTTCTAATTGTGTCTACTTTTAGTCCTAGATATTAACTCACATGTATAATGTAGTTGTGTACCTAATAGATTTGTCAATATCAAGGACAATTTCATTGGAAGGTACACATTCCTGCAAAAAAAAGGTACTTTATTATGGGAAGATTCTTAATTCATGTGTATATATTTAGTTATTGAATCAAATCTGCAAGTGAGTAAATTTATAAAACTAAATTTATAATTTTGCTAAAAATAATTAGGAGTTATTAAACTTTAAATAAATGATAAGAAAGGGGTAAGTGTATATTTTTAATTAGGGGTGGGCATAACGGTTCGGTTTGACCGAACCGAACCGTACCAAACCGAATTAAACCGAACTGAAACCGAACCATTTGTAGTTTGGTTTGAGTTTGGCAGTATTCCTCCCAAACCGTATTAAACCGAACCAAACCGAACCAAAATCATAAAACCGAATAAAACCGAATAAAACCGAACTAATCTAAAAATGAAATAATTTCTTATTTTTTTAAAATAACAAATCAAAATCAACTTACACCAAACTAAACCAAACCAAAATATAGGATTTCTCTCATTAATTTGATTGATGTTAATCTTTTTGAAGCTTTAATTCTTTAATTTTAGTGTCCAGGTCTAGAGTTTACTACAAGAGTTACATTCACAACTATAACAATTATAGTGATTTAAGTAGATAGTATTTAACTATAATTTATTACCCGCTACTACTATATATCTGGTTCATTACTTACAAGCACCAGTTTTATTTTTGTTTTGGCTTTATATATAATTTGATTAATTCACGTTGTTGTTGCTTACAAATGTGTCATGCTTATATATTTTTAGTTCATATGTGTTTTGTTACTGATTGCAAATTTATATCTAGCATTATATTTGGTTCATTACTATTGCTTCTTGGTTCATTATTTTGAGTTATTTTTTTTTCAATCCAAACCTTAATACTTTGGTAAACCGAACTCCAAACCGAACCGAACCGTACCAAACCGAAACCAAACCGAAACTTAATCGGTTTGTATTTGGTACATTTTCTATCAAACCGATTAAACCGAAACCGAACCGAAACCGAAGAAAACCGAACCGAAAACCGAAATGCCCACCCCTATTTTTAATAGTGCAGGGTGAGACTTAATAAAAGACAATGCGTGAAACACTAAAACATCGAGGAAAGTTAATAAAAATTACCAGAACTAGTACGCTCTCTACTGCTGTGTGAGAATTAATAATATCGCACCTTTACCGGCCTGTTAGAAGGGTTGGAGGTAATACCAGAACTAGTACGT